TGTTTTATATCTCCAAAGTAAAAAAATATTGGTAATTGAAAAGGATCATTTAGACTATGGTTAAGGAACTCCTAACAGAAATATTTGCTATGGGCTAATAACAGTTGTAACCCCCCACATTAACTTTATATGCTAAGCTCTGCCTTAAAATGAGCATGGGCAGTTTCCACTGCTGCATGTAAACATAAATTATTGAATAAAGAATAATTGATTTAGAATTGTAAAAGATCAGTAGCCTTGCAGAGAAAAGGGACAGCAGTAGACAGATACATTTTAAGTACTAATGACTCTGCCTTATGAGAGTAGCTTTACTCAGTGTATAATGCATGAGTGGTAAAATAGGTCAAACCCTGGAAGCATCCACATGTTTGAAATCATTATGAATACAATGGTTTTACTGCATCACCAATTGCATAAGAGCTCCAAAGCAAAGGCGCATGTGGAATGCAAAACATAATGAAAATCCTTGCTCTTGTGTTGCAGATTAGAAGGCTACTGCAGATCCTTTTTTGGATTGTTTCCCAAATTTAATACAGTTAGTTTCCTGTGGCCAGTGCTTCTATGTTTTCATTTTTGTGTGAGGATTTTGGTCCCTTGTTCTTTTTGTACCGTTCGTAAGATTTCAACCGTTTGTGCTATAGAAAATTTGGCATATTAACAACGATAGTCATTTTTATTCAAAGAAAAGTGTGGCCATCCCATTTATATTCTGCTAGAGCTTTCAGGGACGTGGGAAGGCTTCATCCCATGACATCCCCTCCCCCACAAACAGAGGAAGCTACTTTGCTGCCTACCTACCACTACAGCTATAGTTATGTCAGTGCTAGGTAATGAAAAGGCTTTGTTATTTAACAGACAAATAATAGAGAGCCTTTGTGCAGGGATAATTACAGTGGTTTGGAGATTCATGGATTAACTCTTGGGACGAACGTTCATCTCAGTAAATCACTAATAAATATACACTAGCACCATCTCTCTCTCTATTTTATACTCTAGTAATTTTGGTCATACTACTCACAAGCCTATCTGGGGCTGATTATGAAGTACGTACGGGCTTCAATGCCCTTTGCCCACCTTTGCTGTATAACCGTATCATAACAGTCAGAACTTCCTGCATTTTACCTCAATCAATGTGTCTTCTGATAAAGCAGCAACAAGGTTGCATAGCTTGCTTATTTCTCGTAAGAGTAACTGGCAAATATTTGTACAGCATTTCGAAGAAGTAGGACCTGACTCATTGCAGCATTACTTCAGTTTTTAAATCAGTATTAACCATTCAAATTCATGACACTACCATCTGAAAAAAGGGATTTCTGAGAACAAGGGAAGGGATGCAGGGTAGTGACAGGTGCCAGAGATGCCCAGACAGAGGAGCAGGAGTCACCTTTGCCTGGACCTCTTGCTAGTCTGAAAACACTCAGGCTAAAGACTGATTTCTATGGAAAGAAAAAAAGTCTTGAAATCATATGAGGAACCCTAAATACTAATCACAAATCACAGGATGACCCATAGGTCATGACATATTTCCCAGTACTGTTGCCCTGGATCTGAGGTCTGACTGAAGTTTTTGATGAAATGAGGAGGCCCAAGGTTCAAATATTTCTTATACTTACAAGCACTACTATTTAAAGTAAATTATGCTACCTTACAGCTCTTTTTAGTCAGAGAGCTACAAAACAGCCCTCTTTGAAGGAAAAGTAAGACACAGAAGTTTATAAAAGGAAACAAAGAGTGGGAAAGTACTGCTATTATTATGGAATAAGAGTGCTATGAAATTGCTGTGAAAATAGGAAATCCATAATTTTATTGCCAAACCTGGTTTTGTCTACAATAATAGTCATTAACAGTGGAGATGGAAAAAAAGATGCATTAGGTCATTTTACCTATCTTCTTGTTAATTAAGAGTGTCTCCTTACAAGGATTTTGACTGTTTAGTTCATTTTAAAAATAACTAAAGCAGTGAGGGTTCAACTCATTTCCTTGGGAGACCATTCAGAAGACTAGCAATGAAGACTAGACCTCGCTGCTATGAAATTTTTCCTCATTATCAGCACGGATTTTTCTTTGTTCACTCTCATGCTGTTATTTCTAGTTATACTTGGTTGGACTATTTTTGTATTACATCAAATTCCATCATTTCATCTCACATACGTATTTCTTTCCCGAGGCAGATACTGGGCTAAATCTGAGCTTCAGTCAAGAAACTGGATGTAAACTCATAGTAGTGATTGGCTTATTTTTACTACATATTGAGCACACAAACAAAGAGAATTGCTTTTTCAATTCTAAAGGGGAAATCTGAAAATCAATCTTTTTCTTCAAGGATTCTTTTTTTCCCCTTAGTATATGACTGCCTGCTTCTCAAATCCATTCAAACACTTACAAAGCAGCTTCCCCTCCAAGAAAACTGAACTGACATTCTGGAGCTGCAAGTCACATCATAGTTCACATTTAGAGGGAAGGAATGTCTTTTATTTACTACGGGACCAATACCAGACATATCTTTGCTCAAATAGTTAACTAAAGGTGAATGTGTTCTCTGCAGAAGGTCACAACAGGGTATGTACCACTTAAGTCTCAATTACACTCTTTTTTACCTCCGTCTGAAACTTTCCCTAATTGGGAGATTCTGGGAATTTTTTTCCATTTAGCTGTACTGTGGATATTTCACTCTCTCTTGGAGAAGGCATTTGTAGAATTAAATATTATCAATAGGGAGCCCCCGGTGGTCCAGGGGAAAAGACACTGCACTGTCACTGCAGAGACCCGGGTTCGATTCCCGGTCGGGGCCCCTCCCCG